CCTCCCTCCCTTCCTCCCTCCCCTCCTTCCTCTCTCACTTCACTTGTTCCCTTCTGTTTCTTTGTCACCCTCCATTTTTTTCTTTTCTCTGATCCTTCTCTGCCTCACACCACTTTTACTGAATTGACTCAAGAGCTAGCAAGAAGGATAAAGGCAGACAGAATGCCAAGACCTGGGAGAATGCCTTTGCCCACACGGCCTATCCTGTCAGGCTGCAAGCACAGTCACTTCTCGGTTCACAGCACTCATATTTGAAATGTGTTTTTGAAGACAGAGTGACACACCTTTGAAACTGTAGGGGGCTCAGAGTAAACATTAAAGGGCCCATAAATATTTATGTGGCAGGTTTCCATGGGTTGCTTTCCCAAAGTAATCATAGTCAACACATTCACACACACACACACACACACACACACACACACACACACACACACACACACACGAAGTTCCTTCCAGGCCCAGCCACTCCCAAAGAACAAATGTAGACCTAATCTCTTACTGAATATTTACTGCAATAAGCATAGTCTACAAACCAGCCAAGGGAAGGAAGGTATGAAGGACTGGACATTCAAGAGCCTTTTCTAGATCCACATGGAAGAATCCTGGTTCTGCCCCTCTCAGACCCAGGCAAGTGACATAGTCTTTCCCAACCTCTGTTTCTTCTTCTGTAAAACGAAGGCATTCAAATAGATGGGTGATCTACAGACTGTTTTCCAGTTCTAAATACAGTGATACCTTGGTTTGTGAGCATAATTCGTTCCAGAAGCTAACTACTCATGTTGCAAGGCATCACTCGTTTACCACGTTAAAATGTATTAGAAATGTTTGCTCATCTTGCGGAACACTCACAAAACCACATTACTCGCAACCCAAGGTTTTACTGTATCCATGATTCTATGAGCAATCACACCAAGGCTCTTATAGAATTCCCATCAATATCAATCTACCTGATACCCCAATACCTGGTGGGCGCAGGGGAAGGTCCGTCAGAACATATCAAACCAGTGCTTGAATGCTGTGAGGAGTGATAGAGAAGTTAGGGGCAAAAGGAAAAGGAAAACAATGACATTGAGTTCAGCATGGAAATAAATACGGTCAGAGAAGGGGATCAGGGAAGAAAGAACTGATATTAATAGATACCAAGCAGGAGTAGGAGACAAGATTTGGCGCTTGCCTGGATGTCTAAGAGAAAACATAGGGGGGGTGGAAGAAAAAAGCAAACTTGATCAAAAGGAGGTGTGTGTTAATTCCACTTTTGACTCCTGAAATTTATTCACGGGTCTCAGACATGCTTCCAACAAAGGCATTCTCCAGGAAGAAGCGGACATACTGGCCTTTTCAGAAGAGGTCTTAATTTGATGCCTCATTCTACACAAGGGTAGGAACTATCCCCCATGGTGACCCCCTACCCCCAGGCAAGAAAGAATAAAGATCTGTGCTCAGAAAAATGGAGTAGCTATTTGAGAAGTAATAGCTACATCTGCAAATGATTAGCTCTAGGATTTATTACCAATTAGGACTATAAATTTCTGCTTACTTTGGTTCCTGAAGAGTTGATTTCATGGTGGGGGTGGAGGGTGATTTGAGACAAGGAAGGAGAAATCCAAGCTTTAAAAGACACACTTCCAATTCAAAAGGGAGCAGTATTTCTCAAGTACCAGAGCAGAAAGCAGGCTGGGCCTTGCTGGTCTAAGAAGCAACCCAGCAAAAGCTTGCAGGGTTAGCAAACTCAAAGGGACTAGTGCCACTCAGAAGATGGTTGGTGAGGAGGGCTGAGGGAAGGAGGTGGCTTAACTAAGTGGCCTCCAGTGGACAGACCATAATATGACCAGAGTTAGCAGTGGGTTACATGTATCAGGAGCTTTACATTCCTGATCTCAGAGGTTCTCAGCCTTGGCTAACTATTAGAATCACCTATAGACCTTTAAAAACATACCTATGTTTGGGTCACACTGCAGACCAATTAAATCAGACTCTCCAACGTTGGCACTTGGGCATCAGGTTGGCTCAAAAACTCCCCAGGTGACCCCTCAGGTGCAGCCAGGGTTGAAAACTACTGCTTAGCTGGTATCATTCTCACAGCAACCCTATGTTATATGTATAGCATGGCTTAATTTACACGTCTCATAGTTTGTTTTTTGTTGTTGGTTTTTTGTTTTTGTTTTTTAAGCTGAGCCATCCTGCTACCTATTGGCAGCTCAGCGGCTGCTCAGCTCGGGCTGGACTCGAACCACTGTTGCTCAGAACTCAAACTCTTGAGCGAGCTCTTAACCAACTGAGCCACTCGGCCGGCCCTTACACATCTCATAGTTTTACAGAAGGGGAAACTGAGGCACAAAGAGGCTGAGTAACTGGTCCAGGGTTACACTGCTAAGTGGAGGCAGGATTTGAACCCACAGCTCACACTCTTCATTGTCATGCCTTATTAGCTCCCAAGTCTATGGTTCTCAGCTTTCCAGGCTCTGAAACTTCATGGGCTTTTCCAGGTAGAAAATGGGGGCTCTCAGACTATTTTTATATATATTTTTTTTAATTCTAATAGAAATGAAACAGCCAACATTAATGCTACACATTAACTAGGGAGGCAAGTTTCTTTCTTTTGCTTGGAATGACATCAAAACAAGGAGCTGCACTGGCTATTTCATGCTCATGAGGGTTCTCATTCATTCATTCAACCAACATTAAGTGCCAGTTTTCTATAAAATAGAGCCACCTTGTGCAGATCATCACACGACAGATGTTCTAAGGGCCATAACAGTGGCACACACTAGACATTCTGAGACCCCACAGAAGAAAGGGGGGCAGCTCTGAGTGGTAGTAACGTATGATGCTTTTGGTGAGTGAAAAATGGCACGGGAAATCGTAGGATGATATGTACATGTTGCTGAGTGGCAAAATAAAAGATGGAGGCAAAAGATAATAAAATGTTGTGAGAATGTTGGGAATACACGGTTGTTGATCCATAAATATTTAACCCAGGGTTTTAAAAAATGTGAATTCCTGGCTGGCACCTACCGCGAATGTAGTAAGCTGGATGTCAACAAGGGAGGTGGGGACTGAGGTGACCTAGAAGAAACCATATCCTGTCAGACAAGTCATCTACTTCCTACCTCCAGCCTAAAGCTGCCCCTTAGGAACGTGGGTGCAGTGTTGTCAGACTTTCTGACTTTCTTAGGGGAAGCTGTAAATATGGGTTGCTTAATGCAAGATCCCCCAGTTTTTAAATGGCCTCTAATTGGAGTCTTTTCAAATGACTGTGTAGACCAAAGAAAATGCACTCAGCAAAGAAAACGCACTCACCGCCAACTCTGCTTACACCATTGAGAGTGACCACCCCACTAGTCTCATGAATCCCAAAGCAGCTGCTTGCTTACTCACCTGTGCCTTTCCCCTCCTGCAGGTATGCTCATTTATTTTGGGTATGGCATCTGGAACAGCACCCTAGAAATCAGCGCCCGAGAAGAGGCCTTGCACCAAAGTACATACCAGCGCTACGACGTGGATGACCCTTTCTCAGTGGAAGAGGGTTTCTCCTACGCCACAGAGGGTGAGAACCAGGAGAACTGGGGTGGGCCTGCTGAAGACAAAGGCTTCTATTACCAACAGATGTCAGATGCGACGGCAAACACCCGGACAAGTAGCAAAGCGAAGAGTAAAAGCAAACACAAACAGAACTCAGAGGCCCTGATTGCAAATGATGAGTTAGATTACTCTCCAGAGTAGGAGAAAACACACAGGAAATATGTAGGAATGGTAATGATTTATTTTCAGTAACTTAACCTATGGGCTAGAAGGTGAAAACTTTTTTGCCTCTCATTTCAAAAATCCAACCTTCCCCAAAGTCATAGCCTGTCATTTGCTACTTTTGCTCTTCAGGGTAGGTCTGTCTAAGGGTGTAACCCTAGGTCCCCTAACTGGTCCCCTTGTAAAAAAAAAAAAAAACTAAAAAAACTAAACAAGAGGCTACAAGACATTCTATCTTAGGGCAACCGTCAGAGCTGATGGCAGCAGATGTTTCCTAGGTCTTTGCTTTGCTGCTTGAGTCTGCTTGCTTCTTACTGAGACCCCAGAAGCAAGGAGCAAACATGTTGGACCACACTGAGCTACTCCTGGAGATGGGCCAAAGCAGGTGGCTGTGGGCACAAGGCAGCATTTCTACCAACTGAGACCACAAGGGCAAAGCTCTGTGCTCAACATGCCCGCTGGGAGCTGCTCCCCAAGCGTGGGCAGGTGGCATTGGCACTTCCTCAGCAAGCAACATTTTGTCCTGAAATCTCACAAAAATGAATTCATGGAAAGATACATGCTTATTTTTATTCACCAAAGTCTCCAAACTGTAACTTTAGGGTCCAGAAAAGGTCAAGGACCCTGAGACCATTTCCCCTAAGGTTTCAGATTCACCAGAAATCAATCATGCAGACCCAGTAATGTGGTGAGAAGCGCCATCAAAGCTCTCCTTAAATGATCAGGAAAAAATGAAACAACCATCTCTTGCAGTGAAGGCCAGAAGGGCATTGGCAGAAATTAATTCTCTGTCATGACTTCTCTTATACCAGACTCTAAGCTCCTGCTGATATAACGAAAGAGGGCAAAGTTGGAGCATGATTTCATGGCACTAATATGCCTTGAAGAAGGAGGCTGTTTGTTTTATAATCAGATAAAAATCTTTATAAGGAGAAGTGACCCAGCCACTGAGATCACATTGCAAAATTCTATTTCGGATTTCTAAAATTATGAATTCTGTCGTTTTTGTGTGTGTGTGTGGTTTTTTGGGGTTTCTTTTGTTTTTTGTTTTTTTTAGATATGCCACCACTTGATTGGTGGGTGCTACTCTGAAAACAAAAATGTTGAAGCACAGCTTCTTAGGTAATGGCATTCCATGAGATCACATTTCACTTCTGAAACTTATTCTTCTGGAGGAGCTCGCTTTTAGCCATGTGTTTTTCCTGCTAATTTTTCCTCTAATCAGGATTAGAGCCGGTAAGGTCTCAATCTGGGCCAGAAGAGGGGCTTTTAAAGGAATTTTCTCTGAAACAAGCTAAATGAGAGGATCTGCAACAGGGAAAAGTACATGATCTATAAATTCTCCTCTTGGTTACAGGGACTCCAACACTGCATTGAGACATGTATGCGTATGTGTGAAGGCACAATTTGGGTCAAGCTAAAATCTTTGCGAGAATTTCCTGAAAGGGGGGCAAAGTCACACATTCCTTGCTCTCTCTCTCCTGGATCTAGCCTTATGCCAAAAGTTTTCCGGAATACATGGACTAACGTGTAAGTCTATTCTTTCTTAAAGGTGAGGCTAGTGCCACCTTGGCACACTTTAGGATTACAGAGAGGAGGCAGACATCCATTTTTTCACTCAACGAACACTGATTGAGAATGTCCCAAGTGCTAAGTGATGGGAATGAAAAGATGTGTGACATCCTCCCTGGGAGGCTCACAGTTCAGCGAATGAGCAGCACTGGGGCCTGTTAACCGTAGAGAGAACAGCCGAGCCTGACAGCTCCCCCGCGGTTGATGCACTGGGCTTTAACATAGTACAAAAGGAAACAGTCCATTGGAACTATATTTTAATATGCTTTTAAACAAATTGCGTATCATACCCATAGCCAATGTATGCCATTTAAAGTCAATTAACTACTATTTTCTAGATCTTCTTTTTCTTTATATTAATTGTTTAAAGCTCTCGTTTCCTGAGATCATTTTAATGAGATGTGTTCACAATGCCATGTTTTCTCTCCCCTAAATTTAACCATAAAGACACAGTACCTAGTCTGTGAAATACATCCTTGGGATTCATTGTAAACTAATTATCAGTCATTTTTGTGAAAAGGAAGTTTTGAACTGGTTTTAGAACTCAACAAATCTGACTAGTTTAAATGTAATCTGTTAAGCTTGAGATATATCCAGATAGATGGGGTGGGGCTGTATTCATTAAAAGTGTTCCAAGAGAAATATGAATGCAAAATAACAAAATCTTAATGTGGGTGAAAGAGCTTCCTTTTACTAGTGAGGTTTGGGTATTAAAGTAATAGTAGTCTGGGGATAGATGTATGCCATTTCTGCAGCATGAGAAGAGAGAGCACAGGCTTTGGTAAATACGGTTGGTAGTGATTTCGGGAAGATTCAATGAGCCACTCTCATTTCAGGAGTCACTTCTCCCAAATAGTACCTCTATAATTTTTTTAAGCTTTGCTCTCCTTATTTCTCTAAAGTTGGTTAGCCATCTCCCTAGCAACCTTGGCTTAAAAAAAATTAGTCAATGTGATAGAAAAAGGTTATTTTCAGGTAAATAGACATTTTTTCTTCATGTTGCCTAGCCTCTGTGAAACAGTCCCAGATTTCACAATGCAGTTTTCAAAATACCATCAATCACTAGAATGATTTTATTCATGTTTCCTAACAAATTTCCTAAGACCACATTTGTGAAACCACCTTAAACGTAAGATCACCTTATAAGTAATTACCATAGAAACTTAGCTCTCTTGAAAGGAGTCCAAGGAAGACCTACATTATTTGAATTCTCTATTAGCAAGAACTCTTCCAGCAGGGTTTCACCATGTGGAACAATCCAATTGTTTGATTTTTTTAATTGTAGTCTATTTATGGGTACTCTGCTTTGTCTCAAAAGGATTTGAAGTGGCTATCAAAATACAGGTAATATAAAAAAAAATTAAGTGAGGAGCTTAGGGAAAATAGAAAGGATAAGACAAAGCTAGAAGTGTGTTTCGTGCACAATGCAGAACCTTGATCTGCATTGCTAATTGCCAGTGAGGAGGCAACTTGAAAAATAATGCAGTTGTTGATAATGATAGGAAGAAGTACTCCTACATGATAAGAACAAATCTTTCCCCATAAGAGCAGAGAATTGCAATAGCATAGATTATTGACACCCACAGATAAGCTTCAGACCTGGATTTTGCCAGGTTACATGTACCTGGTGTATGGTGGATGTTCAATAAATATCTGATGATTGGATGAATGAAAGGATAGCTAGGTTGATGGATAGGTGGATGAAAGGAAAAATGCAATATCATTTATTCAACACTTTTTTGTGGAGTGCTTATTATGTGCTATGGTGTAAGAAATAGGGGTAATAGGATATATAAATAAAGAGCAAGAGTGAAAGTGACAGGTGAGATGAGGGAGTGATAATGTGCAGTGGGGGTTCAAATACGGAAAAGACCTCCTTCCATTGGAAGGAAAGGTCATAGAGCATGCAGCCCTTGTGTTGAGCCTCATGGAACAGGCAGAATTTTGTTGGGTAGAAATGGGGAGAAGGCTTGCTAAGTGGAGGATCAGCATGAGTAAGGTGTAAACTATGGCCTGACTAATAACGTGTACTGTGCCTCCTTCCAGGGAAAGCAAGAAGCTAGTCTGACAGGAGCTTATGATTTATGAATGACTTATATATGGAACAGTAAGAAATTGTGCTGAGAAGGCAGGTTAGGGCTCACCCACAGATAGATGTGAACATAGAAATGAGCTGGCTGGCTCTCCTTGGGTGGAGACGCACAGAAGAAGTGATGAAAGTATGAATCAGGGGAGGCTGGACTTTAAGAAGCTGGGCCAGTGACTTCATCTACCTATGCAAGGAGTTAACAAATCACATGCACACTCCAAGCCAATTTAATGTATTAAAAAGGAAACTATCCATACTTAAAGCAATTTATGATTCTCCCTTTGAGTCCTGTGTCTGATTTGATCATTGACCTAGGAGGAGCGTAGGCATTTAACATGTAGACAAACAGCACAAAGTTATTTGCAGCCACTTCAAAATTTTCAATAATAAGTTTCAACAACCAAACCTAGTAGGTCCTTACATCTATCTAATCTAAACTGTAAAACCTTAGCTCAAGATTTTATTCAGCTTGAGCACAAGGCCACTTTGAACTAGGGAAAGGAATGGAATGATAAGAATTAGGTTAAGAATCCAGTTCTACTTCTTAGTAACAAACTAATATTTAATCAAATGTCTACATAATGGTCATGATGAGCCTGTTTAAATAAATGGGAAAGAAAGTTGTTGGATTTCATGATCCCTTTTCCCTGAAACCTGTGGACCAGTCAGGATGTAAACCTAGTAAGTATTGGGAAACAAAACACAGATTCCTTCACAGAAATACCTTTTCTCTAGTCTACTGTAAAGGGTTGATAAACGACCTCCTCTACATCACACTTGCCAGAAGTCTACCTTACAAGGGGCTGCCTCTTCTCTGCTTTGTAAAGAGAAGCTAAAGGAGTTTGAGAATCAGCCTCAAAGATTAGAGGAAATTCCCACCAGGCTTTACCTAGGTCCCGAGATGTCAGTGAGGGTCAACCACAGGTTTACCTGTCTTGTATCTCTGATTAGAACGTCTTGTTAGGTGGAGAAGTCAGAAATCAGGAAATGGGTCTGAAGCCAGCGCTGGGGTCAGCTCGCTGAGTCCAGCGGCAGTTAACAGTCCACTCTTGGATTTAAGCCTTCAGGTTAGTAAGCAATCCACAGATGGCCTTCATTTCTTATGCTTGTGGGGAGGGGGGTGCCAAGGAAACACACACTCCAAAGTTGGCCACGAGGTCTGCATGACAGCACTCCATTGTCATGCCATTTGGAGTCAGACTAGTCAAGGAGGGTGATTCTATCCAAACTTTTTATGAAGCTTAAGTTTCTCTTGTATGCATGTAACCTCCCTGACACTGGGGACCTGTTTGTCTACCAGGGCCCTTTGCGGGGGCAGAGGGGAGAGAGAGACCAGGATGCTGTTTTACCACAGAGTTTATTTCCTTCGTATTTCTCTGTTGGAATGGTGACTGGTAGCAAAAAGCCCCTTTCATGTACATAATTGTTGTCCACTTTTACTTTCTCTAGAGGAGAGGCTGTTGTGATTTTTTTTTTTCCTCCTTAGGAGCAACTTCCTTTCTAAAATCTTTCCTCTTCTTGTTCAGCTTGAGTAACACATGCATCAGTCTGAAATACCTAGGCAGTTGCCTTTTGCCAAAATTACTTCTCCAAGAAAATGTTCTCTTTTTTTGAAGAACTTAAAGCCCAAAAGGGATTAGTGGAAGTTTTGAAGGCTATCAAAAACGAACATGTATTCTGCAGTATCAACTCAAATAATGTTAGAAATCCTTCAACAGTATTCTACATGCATGGAATTACAAAATTTATATAGGACTTTCACAAAGACAGCTTTGGGCTTGAAGTCTTCTGAAAGCAGCTAGCTCTACTTTCTTACTCTTTGAGAACAGTTAGTGCATTTTGGTACAATAAAGAATGGAAATGGCTTTGTATTCAAACTGGGAAGCAGTGGCAGCATAGATTCTTTCATTAGGGACTCGCTCAGTGCTTTTTATTTTTTCTCCTTTACATTTTCCTGACATTGAATTGGTAGCACTGGCTAAAGAGAATCGTGGGTTATGTGAACTTCCCAGGAAGTGCAGACGATGAATGATGGTGTTCATTCCGATATTGGGATGAGGAGACTGTTCCTTGCACACCTCCTCCTAATTGGTCTTGGCAGTCGCCGATCCACTTGTCTCAGTTACGCTCTCCAAGGAGAGAATCTACACTGGAAACCATAAACCCCCACTTTCCAAAGCAATGACACTGATAATACTAAGATGGCACATAAATACCTCAACCGCCTGGGCTGCAGAAGGGGCTGCAGGTTTTTCAGAGAGCAGCTATTTTTCTCATCCCATATAGTCATACCATCTAACAACACGACTTGACATTTTAGCTTTCTCTCACTGTGGAAAAGAAAGGTTACTGTTCAATTATTATCCAAAGTTGTAAGTACAGCTTGTACATTTTACTAACTTGTTTCATTTTTGTTTGGTCCTTGAGAAGTACAACTTGCTTTTTGCAGCTGGTAATTTCTGGTGTCGTTCTCTGATATATAATATATATATATATATACATATATATATTTTGGTATGAAATTGCTGTATTTGTTAGTTTGTTCGTTTTGTGGTTTTCAATTCCCATTGATGCACTGTACAATGGGGTGTTGTAGTGTATCATGAAGAAACAAATAATATGAAGATATGTTTTGGAGTATGTTTAATTTTGAAATGACTGTGGTGTTGACAATATATTGATTTACGAAGATAGTAAGGGGAAATTCTAAATTTACCAAAATGTGTATATTTTAATAAATGCATAAAGCTTTATTGTGTGCCTTTAAGTTTAAAAATGAGTTTATAAAGGAAGTCAGAAACAAAAGTGTCTTACTACAAAATATCCATAGTAATGGAAAGCTTTTACACAGGAAACTACCAAAAGAAAGAAAAGAAAAGAAAAAGAACCTTTCCCGTATTTTGTTAACCTTAACCAGTACCTGAAATCTGGTACTTTCTTTCCATTCCAAAATGGAGAAGAATAAGCGAATCTTGCCTTAAATGTTTCAATTGTCCTTTGTAGAAAAGCCAGATAAATAAGCTCATTTTTGGGGGGGGAACTGATTGCATTAATGTGGAAAATTTGTTTTCAGAATAAAAATATTTTAAAAATTACAGCTAATCGACTATTAAAATTTAAATTTGAAGAAAGCAAGTGCTGTCCTACAATTTTAAATTCACTTTACTTCCATGAAGAAAGCATTGAAGTTCAGCTTTAATGAACTCTTGGGAGAACATGAAGTAATTCAATCTGCCTCTCATCATTTTTTTCTAACAAGGTTCAGGGCTCTGTCTGAGCCCCGGCTCACTTCACTGCCTTTTGAGTTACCCGTTCCCAGTGCTTCTCCTAGTCACAGCCACACACCCCCACCAGCCTCACCACCATGGAGCATTCACTTCTATTGTCCCCGTTCATTTTACAGACAAATTACAATAGCGTTAGGGTGGTTCCATTTATTTTACTTTTTGATAATACAGGCAGTGACACCTGGAGAAAGGTACCAGGGTCACATATTTTCCACACCACATGAGACACAAAAACATGTCTTTACTTCCTACAATTCATGATCTCCCTTGTAAAAGTCCACCTTCTTAGGTACCAAGGGAGAGAAAAACACACTTTAAATGTATTAACTTACGCAATCGCATTTGTCTTCCTGGTTAGTCCCTTTAAATCAGCCGTTCTCAACCTGTGGGTTGCGACCCCTTTGGGGGTCGAACGACCCTTTCACAGGGGTCGCCTAAGACCATCGGAAAACAAAAAGATATTTACATTACGATTCATAACAGTAGCAAAATTACAGTTATAGAGTAGCAACGAAAAGAATTTTATGGTTGGGGGTCACCACAACATGAGGAACTGTATTAAGGGGTTGCGGCATTCGGAAGGTTGAGAACCACTGCTTTAAATGATTGAGTCTCTTCACAGTAAATGTTCAGTGTTTGGATTTCCTCCCTTCCCCCTTGCTTCTCTCCAAAATGGCATCTGGGAACAGAGCCTATATGATATCATAAGTTGGTGGTGCAGACGAAACCTAGGGTGCTTTGGACACTTAATGGATGCTGCTGCAAAATGGCTACCTGGATTGCTCCTGGGACAAGTCACCCCTGAAGAAGGACCAGCCCATCTAGCCCAATAGATTTCATGATGACATTCACTTCCAAACTCCATAGTTCTAGCATTTAATCCACTGCAGTCCAGCACACCACTGCTTATATTTTTTCCAGCTAAGTATATCATTAACCCATCCAATGTTTTGGGGCTTTATCACCCCAAAAGTGAAGAGCTCCTACACATTGAGGCCTCTTCACATGGACTCCAGGCCTTTGCTGATCCACCAAGCCCTCAGCTCTTACACTTTAGAACCCAGTGCATCCCTCGTGAACCCTGGGGAACGACCTCAGTTTCAAGTACCCACCACTTCCTTCACTAATGACACACTATCATTTCTGGGTTCTGCTCATTGAAGCTTACAGCCAGTAGTGAGCTGCACCCTACTTGTGAGAACAATTGTTAACTTTTCATGACTTTTGTGAGTCAGTTGCTAAACAGAACCTTTATTAAAACTTAACTTCTAAAAACTTACAATTAATTATATTGAAAACAGAGGTAATAAATACTCAAAACTAATTATTTCACTACATTTCACTGTTATCTATGCTCTCAAGGTTATTTACAACTATTATATCTGTATGGGAAAATACTATATAATGACATTCTGTTGCACGTGTTTTTCCCAACTCCGTGTTCAGTAAGTCTGCAATGTATCAATAGCTTGAAATCAGCCTTGGTGGGAGAATTCACACCATGCAAATTGGAAATGATACAAAACCAGAGTTTTGTTTTTCTTTTTGTTTTTCCAGAGAGATGTCCATTACACATTTACCAGCACACCACTGCTTATATCCTTTCCAGCTAA